GGCAATTTGTTGAGTCACTGCCGCTAAATGCCGGTAGCATCAAGCTAGCAAGTCCTGCATTAGCCTCACATCAACAGGTGTAGACAGAACATCCAATTATCCTGAGCTAATTTACTGAATAAACCAACTCACATCTCAATACTGTAGTTCAAAACCACGGTACCTGCTCCATCTGTGGGCTATTTTTAGAATGCGCACGCTACGTTCGTTGTCGCGTTCGCGCGCGTCCACCTGGGCAGGCTGTGTGTGTCCTTCTCCCGTGACGATAACGGCTTGCGGTTAAAAAATAATAATAAACTCATTTGAAACTTGGGGGGGACACAAACGGGCAGACAGCAGAGCTCGGGGCAATAAAGCAGATTTGTTTGACTTTTTTACACTTTGTTGTTCTCCTCCTTTCCTCCGCTCTTGTCTCTGATTGTGAGCGTGAGTGTGTGCATTCGTGTGTGTGTGTGAGCCCCGCCCTTCAGAAACAGAGCGGAGGGAGAATGTGAATACGCAAAGCAGTGTATACTGAAACATGAACACATTGGATAAATAACATGGCGTTTAGTTTATTTAATAAAAGAGCACATGTTCAATGGGAAAAGTGACCGTAGATAGATGACTTCAGTTGAAATTTGGTGCTATATCTATATATTTTTTTAAATAAAAAACAAAATAAAAACACCTTGAATTTCAGGCAGGGCGCGGGGCTCCGTTGGCAGGGCGCAGCGCCCCGCCAAGACAATGGTAGGGGAAACACTGTCCGGAATGAATCGCTGAAAGGTTTGTGAAGCTTTGTTTCGTGAAAGGCTGGCAGAGGGTGCGGCCATAGCTCTGGGCGTGGCTACTGGGTATCCCTAAGTAGCGATACCCAGGAAGTAAATGAGAAATCTCCAACGAGGCGTTTTGGGGAGGACTTTTCTTTGTTAGAGTTTTACTCCTTACAGGGTTTACTTTGAGGGTTTTTGACTCTGCGGACCGTTTACATGCATAAAAACCTTCATGACACACAAGGGGACGGGTAATAAACGGAAAAGCATGACATGGGACCTTTTAAAAAAGAGAAGATCATGGTCGTCGTGATATAACAACATCGTTTTGACCATAACTCACAAATTCACACAAATGTCTAATAGGGCAGTAAGATGTAATTCTAGTTAAATTTAGTTTGCAACTGTGCCCTCATTCTTAAAAGAAAGTCTATTATTAGTCTATTATTATTATTATTATTATTATTATTATTATTTCTCTAAAGAAAGTATGTGTGTTGATTGACCTGGCTTCTCTCAATGGAGGGTCCTGCTGACGTATTAATGTGGCATTTCAGAGCCTGTGAGGAGCAGCAGTAAGGTCCCGGAGGAGGCGGTGGTGGACGAGGAGGCCATCCTGAGTCTGCTGGAGAACAGCCAGACCTTCCTCCCGCTCTCCCAGACATCCAGCCACTCACCCCTGTTAGGTAAACGAAAAGGTTAAAATGTAATTGAAACATACCAACATACATTCAATACTGTGGACAATCTCCACAGGAACAATTTGGGGTGAAGTGTCGCAGGGACACAACGAAATGCTGACAACTGTAGTCACTACAGTGGGACTCGAACTTGCTATCTCCTGATTCGAAGTCCAGCACACTATCCACTGAGCCATAGCCTCCCTCGAAATAACTGCATTGACATTTTATTGACCAAAATGCTAGATAACATTTCACTTACTAGGAGTCATGAACACAACAATAACAGTGCATTGTTATAGTGACTGGTGATACAGGTACTGTGACTTTACTACAGCAGCTCAGTACATCTGATTTTTAATCATAAATGTTGTGCTTCTTCAATTGATCGCTTACAGACAGGGAGAAAAAGCTACACATATAAGTTGTTATACTCCAAAAAAAACAATGTTATCATGGTCACAGTGCAAACATTAGAGGCTTAAATCGATTTCAACGTCACTTCTTATGGTGTATATTCGCCAAAAAGTAAATAAATGACAGAACAGGTGAAGCCCAAACCTCGTTTACTCCTGAGTCCGTAGGAACTTTGGGATTGTGTGTGTCCCACTGACATGGCATGGCTGCCTAACATGTGGTGACAATGCTAAATCCTGCAAATAAAGTGAATAAAAAAGTGAAGAAGTCTAGGGTTCAAAAAGGATAACTTTTACAGCTTCTATTTAATTGATTCATTTGGAGCCACATTTAAAGTCATTGCTCGCAGCTGAGTGATGTCCTGTCTTTGTTGTCCATGCAGACAGCAGGCAGGACCAAGCCTTTATCGAGCTGCTGGCAGGACTGGAGAACGACGGCTTCTGCAGGACCCCCGTCAGACAGAAGTCCCAGTCACTCCCTGGTGCCAGAAGCTACGACTGCAACAGTGATGAAGAGGAGGCAGAGCCTGAGATGGAGAAGGACGAGGCAGAGCTCAGCGTGATAATGTCCCAGCGGTGGGACAACGAGCCTCCCAACCACTCCCCCACACCAAGGCAAGTGTGTCTGTCTCCACTGAAAAGCATTCATCTAATACACTTTTCCCATTTTGTGGATACAAATCAATTTAAAAAGAAATGATGGCCAAACGGTAATAATGTAATAATGGGTGACCAACAGAAATGTAATTGTAGCATTATTGTTAATTGTAAAGAATAAAAACTGGCATGAAATGACTGCTCAGATTAGCAATTCTGTTCATTTCAGATAAAATCAAATCAGATTAGAGAAGTGTTTTGCCAATCCAACCCTTTATTTTTCTTTAACGGCTGCTTGTTACACAATGGAGATATGGCTGCTTTCATTACATTTTCTTTATAATGTTGCCATACACTTTATTGACATTTTTTTATAAAACAACCCTCAATACAAACGAAAAAGATGCACATATCTGTAGGCAGGCCATCAATTTGGTATGCACTGCCCGGCTAATATCAGTACTCGTCATCCAATATTGCTCTTTAGTGGATTACTGTTCCTCCACCAAGAAAGAGTCATATAATTCTCAAGCAGGACAAACATTAGCAGTGATATAAAGAATATGCCGGTTCATTGTTTAATCTGCCTCCCTGTCTTCCCTGTGTACAGACACGGAGTAAGGGAGCCAGAGGAGGGCTTCAGTGACGAGCAGCACGAGTCCTCTGATGAAGACATGGACTGGAGCGGGAACAATTCCCTGTTCGCCAACCTGTCCATCCCCCAGCTGGACGGGGCCGCAGACGAGAGCAGCGGTGAGTCATGTCATGCTGAGACGCCACTTACATAATGCTTATAAAAATAATAATAATAAATGGAATTTATAAAGCGCCTTTCACAGGACCCAAGGTCGCTGTACATGGTGGACAGACAAAACAAAACAGACAATGAGGAGCAAACAAAACAAACAAATAAAATAAAATAAAGTAAGCCGGGGGACCAGGAAAGGACTAGGGTCCGAAGGCCATGGTGAACAGGTGCGTTTTCAGTGAGGATTTGAAGATGTCCAGTGAGGCAGCATTATGGATCTCGGGAGGAAGTGCATTCCAGAGGGTGGGGGCCGCAACACTGAACGCCCTGTCACCCACAGTACAAAGGCGAGAGCGGGGGATGGAGAGCAGGCCTGTGTCTGAGGACCGCTGACTCCCAGAGGGGGTGTAGGGATGTAGAAAGTATGTTAAGTACTGGGGGGCGAGGGTATGGAAGGACTTGTACGTGAGGAGGAGTGTTTTATAGTGAATCTGGGACTTGACCGGCAGCCAGTGGAGGTGGATGAGGGTGGGGGTGATATGTTGCCATGGCTTAGTGCGGGTGAGAAGTCTGGCCGCAGAGTTCTGGACATATTGGAGCCTGGCCAGGGTTTTCCTGGGAACCCCGGACAGGACTCCATTGCAGTAGTCCAGACGGGATGTGATGAAGGCGTGTATGAGTGTTTCTGCCACAGAGTCAGAGAGTGAGGGGCGGAGTCTGGCAATGTTTTTGAGATGGTAGAAGGCGGATTTGGTCATGGATTTGATATGCGCCTGGAAAGAGAGGGTGGAGTCCAGGATGACTCCCAGGTTGCGGACTTCATTTGATATGCTGCTGAGATAAGATACTGTATTACAATGTCCTTCTGCTGTTAACAAGTTTGTAGGTTGAGCACTTAGGCTTGATTTGCAGTATCAGATCACATTCCGTTTCCATGGAATACACTTCGGCTCCACCTTTAAAGGTTTAGTTCACCCAAATCAACCAAAAAAGTTGAAAAACAGCTATGTTCCCTGGTGACCAAACGCTTCCCTGATGACCGGACGTTTACTGACTTTCCTGTTGTGCGATTCTAGATTGAGAGAGTTAATTGATACATAAAATGACATAAACAAGCTACAACTGTACAGTTACTCATTGCTTTGAGAAAAAATATTATTAATTTACCCCTTTTACAAGTGAAGATATAGTCATTTGTTCTGGGAATGTCATTTTCGAGCCTGAGACCTGAAAAACAGGCTCAGGCTCAGGTTAATGGCGTGTCATGAAAGTGTTGGTATTCATACCTGGAACTCATTGCACAGTTTATGTGGAGTGCTTAAGCTTGTGTCAGTGCTGTTTGTCAGAGGAATTTGGCTCACTTTTATCTTGTAAACCTGAAGTGTGTCTTTTAAAGAGTCTGCTTAGCAACAGCAGGACTTCTGTCCGCTTATGTTTCTGTATTGCAAATCACTTAACATACATATGTGTAGTGCAGTGGCAAACCGTTTCTATCACAACTGGACCTTCTGTAGACACTAGGGATGCTCCGATCGCCAATTTTGGGGCCGATCGAGTGGATGGGGCTTATGGGGGTCTTCCATTTTAAAGTGATGTTTGGGGCTCAGTTAATGGGGCTCATTCACTGGCGCTTCCACAAACAACAACCAACATAATTATTACATTCAAATGAAGTAC